TTTCCACCTGCTTGGCAAAGGTGGCGACTGGTTGTGCTGTTTGTTTGGACAGACGATGTTCACGTAACGAGAAGGCGGGAGCTACCTTCGAAGGCTCTTTGGGGTTTTCTGCAAGGATGTCATCCAGGAGGTAACGGAAGTCAAGGCCGTACTCTTGGAGGAGCTAGTAAATGCAGTAAGGTTACACTCTGTTCAAGAACGTAGGAGTGGGACTAACCTTTCGGCTCTGAGTTCGTGTAATGTATACAGCGTCTTCTACTACCTTAGGATCAACATCTCTTGAGTAAACTTGCTTCCTGAATATTTCTGCATAGTCTTCAATTTGTTGCTTGGTCCAGGTAACAAACGCTGAATGGAGTCCCTTGAATGTGAGAAATAAAGTAAGATAGTGCGAGCTCCACATACAGCTTGCAACCTCGTTCTCCTTGAAACTCGCCAAGTACCAATCCGCAGTATGCTTGATTCCAGTAAAATATACAGTAGCAAGTTCACCGACATATGTTCCTGTATGGCCCTCAAAGCGAATTTTACGCGTATGTCCACGAATGACCTGGGCTCTCATTTCGAGGAAGGTGCTTCGGGCTGCGGCACCGGCTTTCAGGCGATTCAGCAAAGAGATGAGGTTGACGACGCCCGACTTTCGGTTGGAGGGTAAGGCGAGAGAGGCGAGGAGGGAGGAAATTAGTTGGCTTGTGAGTGGTGTTAATTTGGCGGCAAGGAGAGGCGTAATCGATAGCTTGGCTTGTCCTGTCGACAATCGTCAGAGAAAGGACGTGTGCCAGGTACAGCGAAATCTGACCTTGTTCAACAAGTTCAACAGCTTTGCCCCACTCCTTTAGAGCGATAGCCACGGTTAGATTGTCGGACCACTCTCCAACCCATCGGGCATCTCTTTCCCCTTTCTCCTTCGCATCTGTAGCCATCCCTGGTATATCACCACCCTTCTTCGCAAGGTCAACCATCCATTCTGGCACAGGCGGTACTGGGGAATTGCGCTGATGATTGATATTAATTAACGCCTACTTTTTGTAATCTCTGAAATTGGACTCACACCAGCTGCACCACCACCACCATGCCACATGCTCTTTCTCCGTTCGTGTTCTCCTTCTCGTTCTTTGCGGCGCTTCTGTGAGAGTTCTTCCGCTACTTGCCTGAATTGCGCGAGAATGCTTTTCTTGTCTGCCGACATATCTGTTCTATAAACATGGGTTTCCTTTCCATGCCTGATCTTGAACACATTGGTCATGTCTATTCAGAGTCAGTGAGAGAAGTCAAGGGTGATTATGTCTTAACGCACTTGGAGAATCTTTGGTGTCAAGAACCAACATCTCATTCAATGGCCAACATTTCTCGGCCACAAGTTTTCCTTCATTGACGGTCGAACCACTTCCGTCTGCTGCTCCTGGGCCAGCATTGCGTCGTCTCCTCTTAGCAACCAGCACAGCATCGTCAAGTACAACAAACTTCACTTTCCCTGTCACCTTGTATGTTGCTGCGTTGAGACTGAGAACACCTTCCATTTCTCCTACGACGTGCCTTCCTGGTGTGGTGGGTACAAACTTCGACGCGCCTTCAATAGATGCATGTAGAGTCTGCATTTGGTTGAAGTAGAGTACACGCAAGTCGGCAACGGAAGACCGTTTATAGGTGGATAGCATGGATGAAGATATGGACGTTGGGTCGGGGATTTGCAGTGTCGAGGGCATTGACTTGTAATCGGAGAGCAGGTCCTTGAGCTCGAGCATCTCATTCTCAAGAACGGAGATCTCTTTTGAAATAAGCACGAATTCGGCATAGCTGTCGGATCAAGTAAATCAGTACTGCGAGGGTCATGTCAATTAAAGGCGTACTTCTTGAAGACGCTGCGTTGAAGTTCTGACGATGTGTCGTCGATGGCGCTGCGCAGTGAGGACTGCAATGACTTCAGTTCAGCCTCGGTAGAATTCGCCAATTTAAGTTTGAGAACTGGATATTTGGATATAATCGATATTTTGTCAATCAAGCCCAGTGGTTCCCGACTTACAAGCAGCAGGATCAAAGTCCTCCGCGTTCAACAGCTTTCTGTCGTCGCCAACGACCTTGGCATCGTCTCTCGTTCCCGTTCTATCCCTCACGTCTTCGTCTCCTTCCCGACCTGTGCCCGGTGTTCCCCTCTGGCCAACCGGCATCATGGCCAGCGAAGGCATGGGTGGGACACCCGAGAGCTGTGTTGGACTCGAGATATCGGCATAGCGAGTGGACATGCGCTTCTTGATTTTGTCATCGATGCGATTCTTGCTCCTGTCGCGAGCCGTAGGCGCTCCTGGTTTTGCTAATTTGGAGGGAGCGCGCTGAGCTTTGCGGGGCGCCTGCGACGGCCGAGAACGCAGCGATGAGTCCATAGTGATAAACGGAGACTCGATGATGCAGGGTATAAGGTGCGGTCGCGATGTCACGAGGCTGCAGTATGTTAGGATATCAATTATGTCACCCGTACTTGTAATTCATGATACAGTACCGCCGTATCTTAGCTACTCCATTGTATAGCGCATAGTGTACAGGGCTATTTCATTAAGCAGACTTGGCGGCGTCATTCCATCCAGAACCGGTTGTAAAATAAATACGGATTCCGACAACCGCTTTGCGATCGAACTGCCGCTGGGCTTGCCTTCCACCATCATCATCCCCACTTCAACCCATCGATGGCCATGTACGCCCACCAGCAGTCCCCTCCCGTTCCATGGGATCATCAACAACTGCCACATTCTAACTCCAGGGAGTTCCCGCAAATGCAGCCAGACACTTCGCGGCACTCACAGCTAAATATGTCTCCTCGCTCAGTCCAGCAGCAGCCACCCCAGTCTGGCTCAGTGGAATTCGGTCAACTACAGCCAGATTCATCGAGACAGTCACAGTTAATGGCATCTCGCTCGAGCAAAGACTTAGTGGCGTCTCGCTCGAGCAGAGAACTCCCCAGTCTGCCTGTCAACCATTACGAACCACAGCAAGATTACTATGAGGACCATTCTCCGGAACAGGAGGATGACAATGACGACTTTTTCAACGGTAATACCTCCAATGGCGGGCTGCATCCCAACTCATCATACAACCCCGCCGTTGGCGACTATCGGAACGCCGGCTCAGTCGCAACACAGTCTGTTCGTTCACCTTCCCCTCCCCCATCTGGTCCTATCCTCGATCATTCCCACCTACGCCCAGGCAACCAAGCTTCTCTTCTTTCTCACGAACGGACACTCGAACTCTATCGTGCCAATGCAAAGAAAACGCAGGACCCTGACCTCCAATACGAATTCGCTGTCTTCATGATCGATGCCTCAAAATCAATGCCAATCCCAGTTCAAACCGCGGGGAACGTCATGGATGTTGAAAAGGCGATAGATAAGCGCGAAGACCTCATTCGCGAGGCAACCGCTCTTCTTAAGCGCCTTGCCGACCGAGGCCACCCCCAAAGCCAGTACTTCCTCGCTGACTGCTACGCCAACGGCATAGGAACGCTGAAGAACAAACAAGACTTTGATCGCGCGTACCCGCTTTTCGTCCTTGCAGCAAAGCATAATCATCCGGATGCCGCTTACCGCGCGGGAACCTGTTGTGAGAACGGCTGGGGATGCAGACGTGAATCTCCGAAGGCGTTGCAATTCTTCCGCAAAGCGGCCGCGGCTTTGCACCCCGGTGCCATGTACAGGCTGGGGATTGCAGAACTGAATGGGGAGCTGGGTCTCAACAAAAGTCCGAAGGAGGGCGTGAAATGGCTCAAAAGAAGCGCAGAACATGCAACAGCCGAATTCCCCCATGCTTTACATGAGCTTGCTCTGCTGCACGAGCGAGGAATCGACAATGTGCTCTTTGTCGATTATGAATACTCGACTGAACTTTTGGCTCAGGCTGCGGAACTGGGATATGCCCCAAGCGCCTACCGGTTGGGTGAATGTTATGAATACGGGAAAATGGGCTGTCCTCAAGATCCAGCACTGTCAATACACTACTACGTGCGTCTTTCTGTACTCTATTGCTTTCGACACGAACTCATTTTATTGCACGCAGAATATTGCTGCTCAGCAAAACCATCGTGATGCATGCTTCGCGCTAACTGCGTGGTACCTCGTCGGCTCGCCGGGAGTCCTTCCTCAGTCAGACACAGAGGCATTCCTGTGGTCACAAAAGGCAGCGGATGCTGGTTTAGCAAAAGCGATGTACGCCGTTGGTTATTTCCTCGAAGTAGGCATCGGCACAACCGCCAACATGCAAGAGTGAGTTTATTTCCTTTCCTGTACATCACTGTTCCAGTGCTCTATGTTTGTCACAGCGACTAACATTATGTTACACTCATCAGATCAATAGCGTATTACAAACGCGCAGCAGAACTCGGCGATAAGCGTGCAGCGCAACGCTTACGCGGGTCCCAGAGCCAACCTATGCATCAGCCTGGTGGGCCCGGCGCCGTATTGCATCGGACTCCAGGAGACGATGGCAACGTGAAAGGTGCAAAGGATAAGGATTGCGTCATCATGTAATGGTGGGTGTATTTGTGGAGATGTATCCTGCAGAGCGTGTGGCGGAGAAACCTGGGACAATCGCTGGGAAAGGAACCCATTTTGCGCTTTCTCTGTCTGATCGCAGCACCCTCGTTTCTTACCAGAGTCCACGGTCCTCATTCCTGTATGTCGGTACTATTCCCCCTTCTAGAGAAATTCTTCGTTTCCTTTATGTCCCGTCCACTCTTTTGGGTTCTACCGAGATATCTAAAGTCATTATCCAGACACATGTAACCTACACGATCCTTTATTATACTTCATGTTGAACGGACAGTTTTGTAAAGTATACTACCATACATACCATCATCGCTATTACTGTCTGTCTGTCTTGAAACCCATGGAATCCAAAATAATCAACAATGTTCATGGTGGAATCTCTCCTTGGCTAAGTATGATGTGTTATGATTGATGGAATTGGAAATAATGCAGATTCGACATGTTGACAAATGAACAAGGTTAGATATCGGCCCCCTAGCTCAGTGGTAGAGCGTGAGATTCCAGCTTAGCTCGGTTACCTCAATGTCATCCGTTCAATCCGGGTGGGGGTCAAGTTGTCTTTTTGTCGTTCTTCGTCAATCGTATCGTTGAAGGATACATACACTCTAATCATCGTTTTGAAACAAGTCTTGATACACTTGCTAACAAAGATTTTTTGATTCAACGGCGTTCTTGTTGGATATTTCGCTTGGACCCTGCTTGGCGTTGACTCTGATGGTTAACCACTGGCTGACCAGAGTTGACTGATGGGACCCACAAGATTAGCAAGCCAATAATAGTGATGGTGAAAAGCCCATGTGGTGCCGCACTTGCAAAGCCTCTCTAAGGTCGAACATCGCTAACGCTCACTAAGCAAAGCTTTGCAAGACCGACTGTAATTAACTCCGGGCCAAGCCTACGCAAGCTCTTGTAAGGTGCAGGGCAAAAGCTATGCTTCATCGACAAACAACCTTATTCGGTCTGTTTGCCCTACCTAAACCCCTTTGATCATGCGCACAATGGGGCTTGAAACGAACTTACGGAAGACCGACCTCTGAGACCAGTTCTGTTATTTATATACCACGCACCAGTTGCATGATGCCTCGCTCACGTCAACTGACCTTCTTCTTTCACAAGCTCTAGCATGAGCACAAGCACTACTACCAACTCTCCACCATGACAGCCACCCACACTGCGATTGCTACTACCGCCAAAGGTGTATATGATGCTATACAAGTGCCCACGGAGACTCCAGGCGACGGCGAAATTCTGATCAAAGTCGACTACGCGTCGATGATTGCGTTCGATACTTATGTTACTGATCGCGGATTTGTCGTACAAGAATACCCGCTTGTGCTGGGATTCAACGCCGCTGGGATAGTGGCAAAGCTTGGCTCTGGCGTCGAGGATTTGAAAGTCGGAGATCGGGTGCGTATGTATGACATGATTCTATGTTTCAACCCTGTCAACTTTCTGGAGTTGTAGGTGATTGCGTTTGGCATAGGTTCGTCCCGAAACAAAACCATGCAAGAATATTGCATCGAATCTCGTTCTTTGGTTGCAAAGGTAATCATATCCCCAAGTTCATTGTGTGGCATGGTTACTCAACTCGTCTTCGGACGAACACTTAGATCCCGGATACACTTCCATTAGAGGAGGCAGCAACTATTCCAGACAACTTTGTCTGTGCATTTTACACGCTGTTCAGTCAATTGGGACTTCCCATCCCGTCAACTTTCCCGGCCACAGTAGCACCTCCCCTTGCTACGTCCCCCATCCTGATTTACGGGGCTGGATCTACTGCTGGTCTTTACGCAATCCAGCTTCTTCATCTTGCAGGGTACAAGAAGATAATTGCGACAGCGTCATTGAAACATCACGATTACCTTCGCTCCCTGGGTGCAACTGATACCTTTGATTACAACAGCCCAACGCTCGTCAAAGATATTGCCATTGCCGCTGGGGAAGATCGTAAAATTCTATTTGCGATGGATTGCATCACTACACAGTCGACCTTGGACATCCTTGCCGATATTCTCAGTCCGCTCGCAACGCTTGCTATACTACTTCCCATAAAAGCAGGCAATGCAGTCACTGGGAGCTTGGATGAGGAGATGTATTGGGAAATACCTGAAGAGCGCAACCGTTTTCCGAAGGGAACTAAGATCATCGGCGTACGGACGTTCAACTATCAAGAGGCAAGTTCTTGATATCCGTGGTAGAAGATACAGGTACTGATAACTGCTGCATCAAGGACTCTACTTTGAAGCAGAATCTGATGCCAAAAATACTCCCTCAACTCCTCGCAGCTGGACATATCAAACCCAACCGTGTTCGTCTGATGGATAAAGGCACCTTCAAAGAGAGAGTGGGAACTGGTCTTGCGCTGCTGAGAGAGAATAAGATAAGCGGAGAGAAGGTTATTGTTAAAGTTGCTACATAGTTTGGAAGATCTTAGTACGTGCTGTGATTGCAATCAATGAAACGCGTCAATTAAGAGTCACGTGTGCAATGAATTCAATCACGTTGGTCGGATCTCGTTCGTGTTTGCCGACGAAGCTCCTTCCGGCGAAGTGCTTCCCCAGATATATCAATCATTATAACGACTGTTCATATTCACCTACCACCGCTACACCTGTGCATATCCCAGCGCTTCAGGAATGATACCATCCAACCGTTCGCTTGCTTCCAGGCATCTGTCACATAATACTCTCGTTCGGGCGTCTGCTCATTGCCCCCAGCGCACTCTGTCGCGTCCTATAACAGTAGCTGCTACGAGTGTCAGGTCTTCAAAGCCCCGGACCACTGCAACCGCGAAAGCCTTTACATACAATAGCAATAGACGAGGATATGCGTCAGAAAATGCAAGCGGTGAGCAGAGCGCTTCACCCTTCTATCTACCATTTACACAGGTTCCAAGGTTCGCTCCGTACTACGCGTCACCCGCATTTTGATAAGATCTTGATTGCCAACCGGTACGATAGTCCTTTCAGCTCCTCCAGACTTCTATATCCTCAATCCTTGGGGCTTCACGCAGGGGTGAAATTGCGTGTCGCGTTATTCGTACTGCAAAGAAACTTGGGATCAAGACTGTGGCGGTATACAGTGAGGTAGATAGAGATTCTTTACATGTCAAGATGGTGCGTATTATTATTCAGTGAACTTAACCAGGGCTAACGAAACAACTCATCCAGGCGGACGAGGCATATTGTATCGGACCTGCTCCCTCTTCTCAGAGTTACGTGAGTATCAAGGTCAAGCATTCCCAACTAGTGCCTTACATTTTCATCTCAGTTGTCCATGGACAAGATCATCGATGTTTGCCATCGTAGTGGTGCCCAAGCGGTTCACCCAGGGTATTAGGAATCTTTGCAATTTCAGACAAGAATTAACGACGATGTACATAGGTACGGATTTCTAAGCGAAAACGCCCAATTCTCGGAGCGTTTGGCGCAAGAAGGAATTGTCTTTATCGGTCCTCCTGCCAGCGCCATTGTAAGTATGGGGTCCAAGAGGTCAGTCCTATTATACATTGCTAATGATATAAGAGCTGAAATCTGGGTCAGTGAATCAAAGAATATCATGATAAGTGAGTTGCAGAGATGCTAGGAGAATGATTCCATTCTAAATTTGAACGTCAAGATGCCGGTGTTCCTTGCGTACCAGGGTATCATGGGGACAATCAAGATCCCAAGCTCCTGTACGAACAAGCACAAAAAATAGGTAAAGCAAGGACCACAGCTGTAATTGCCTGACTTACCTGGGCCTCAGGATTCCCTGTCCTTATCAAAGCTATTCACGGGGGAGGTGGGAAGGGCATGCGAACTGTTCTCACTCCCACTGCCGAAGCATTTCAAGAAGGCCTTGACTCTGCAAAGAGAGAGTCTATGAAAGCTTTTGGAAACGACACAGTTTTGGTGGAGAAATATATACAAACCCCAAGACATATAGAGGTGCAAGTGTTCGGGGACATGCTGGGAGATGTAGTAAGCCTTTGGGAACGTGACTGCTCTGTGCAACGCCGGAACCAAAAGATCATCGAAGAGGTATGTTTCATCCTTTGCGTTCTGTTCGAAATCAACAACGCTCCAATAGGCACCTGCCCCAGGCCTTACACCCGAGCTTCGGGCGGACCTCAGCGCTAAAGCAATTGCAGCCGCAAGAGCTGTCAACTATGTCGGTGCAGGAACCGTCGAATTCATCTTTGATAAAGATACATCGGAGTTTTACTTCATGGAAATGTGGGTCGGATTATATGCTTGATGAGGAGCTGAATTTAGAAGTTCTGATTATAGGAATACCCGTTTGCAAGTCGAACATCCTGTTACTGAGATGATAACGGGCTTGGATTTGGTGGAATGGCAACTCGAGGTCTGTTGCAAAGGCACGTCGTGAGGTCATTGCTCATGATTTGCAATAGGTTGCTGCCGGAAACCCTCTTCCTCTGAAACAAGCTTCAATACCAATGGTCGGACATGCGTTTGAGGCCCGCATCTACGCTGAGAAACCACGTAATAACTTCCTACCTGACTCCGGGACTTTACTGTACTTGTCGACACCAACCCCGACACATACATTTGCACCGTCATTTCCTCATATCAAACCATCCACTTTGGCTCTTGTACCGTCTGATTCCTCCGAACTCGCTCTACAGCTCCCACCTTCATTACGCATTGAGCAAGGCTTTATGCAAGGAGCGTCTATCGGGGTATTCTATGATCCCATGATTGCCAAAGTTGTTGTCCATGGCCGAGACAGAACAGAAGCTCTGCGGATGTTGCGGAAGGCGTTAGACGAATATCACGTCGTCGGTGTCTCCACAAATGTGGAATTCCTCAGAAGTCTGGCAGGAAATAAATCGTTTATCGGTGAAGAACTCGAGACAGGTTTTATTGCGGTACGGATGTCATGTTATTCCGTTGTTGCTTGCATTGAACGTGCTATCTAGAAACATTTCGATGAACTTTTCCCTCCTTTGCAGGAACCGAGCGCCGAACTCCTAGCGCAAGCAGCACTCTTCGTTGCCCTTCGTGACCAAAACCTTCAATATGCGAGACCCTCAACCACGCCTTGGACGTCTTTGACTTCCCGCCGGTTCGGCGGTGATGTACATAAGCGCACGATCGTGTTTCAAACAGATGGTATAGAGGGGGATATGTCAGTCGACGTTATTTCCACGGCACCTGGGCAATACGACATCGTTGTAAACCCACAGGAGAACCCTGTCCGTTTTTCTACAGTGCACGCCCAACTCTTGAATAACCACACCGTGTCCACCACTCTGAACCAAAATTACACACACACCACCGTCGTTTCTCAACCTCCACATCCAGCAACCCCAGCTTCACAATCGCACAACACGATGGAGCGCCTGCATGTTTTCAGTGGGGGCCACAAAATCACCCTTGCCTTACCCTCGCCAAAATGGCTTCTAACACTCGGAGGCGATTTGGCCGCTGCCAAAGGTGCTCTGAAGGCACCCATGCCTAGTATGATTGTCGAATTGAAAGTCAAAGTGGGCGATCGTGTGGAGAAAGGGCAAGCCATCGTTGTCCTTGAAAGCATGAAGACAG